CATGCTACATATATACAGAGGGTGCCAAAACACACACACACACACACACACACAGACACACACATATACATATACACATTACACATTTTAAGAAAGGAAAAAACTATTAAAATTGTAACACTCAATATATACTGATAATAAAAGATGAATACAGGTCACACTTAACACGTCTTATAATTGCAGAAAGCAAATGTGATTTGAATATTATAAATGTAATATAGTTTTTTTCTTTTTTAAAATATGTAAACATTTTTTGGCACTCTGTGTGTGTGTGTGTGTATCTCATAGGTTATTACAATCATTAAATGAGAGAGAGGTACTTTAAAATCTCAAAGGTGCATAGTAAACTCTCAGATGTTGCACTGCATAGCCTAGTAATAAAATCAAAAAAGTCATTCAATTTTGAAACATACAAAGGAGGGTTCCTAATAGTATACAGAGGATGTTGACTGTGTAGTATTTGTTTGGTAAATTCAGCAAGATAAATAATTTAAAATTACAGAACAGGCTCCACGCCTGTGGCTCAAGTGGCTAAAGTGCCAGCCACATACATCTAAGGTGGTAGGTTCGAATCCAGCATGGCCCGCCAAACAACAATGATGGCTGCAACCACAAAAAAAAAAAAAAAAGCCAGGCATTGTGGTGGACGCCTGTGGTCCCAGCTACTTGGGAGGCTGAGGCAGGAAACTCGCTTGAGCCCAGGAGTTGGAGGTTGCTGTGAGCTGTGAAGCCACGGCACTCTACCCAGGGGGACAGCTTAAGGCTCTGTCTCAAAAAAAAAAAAAAAATTACAGAACAAATGCAGGATTTAAATTAACAGTGAAGAAATTCCAGATTTAGTTATTAAATTATAGATTGGGATTATCTGAAGAAGCTATAGAATTTTCTTCTATGGAAGTAGTTTTTAAAAACACATCTGTTTGAGGTTAGATTCTTTCATAAATGACTGATTTTACAATTGGAGAACTTACAGTAGGAAAAGGAGAAAAATTAAAGCAAATCTATTTATCTAGAGCTACAACATTCCAATTTGGTAGCTACTGGCCACATGCTCCCAGACTGTTGCGCACTTAAAATGTGACCAGACATTTGCTTTGAGTATAAAGCACACATTGGATCTTAGAGACATAGTACACAACTTTTACAGGATAGTATGAAAAATTCTCCTATAATAAGAACAAATACTTATAAAATAAATAATACAAATACTTTTCGGGAAAATGATTTTTTAAATAGACCACGTGAAATAGCTTCCCTATCTATCCTTGATTTGAGGGACAGTATAATAGGTATGTCCTGGAGGGCATACTTACTTTACTATTGTTGCACCACCCAAATGTCTTAGGAAGCTAGTAGTTTTAATTCCACATAGCAGGTTGATTTACAATGTCAGACAATTAAGTTCACAAACTCATCCTAGAAAAAGTACTACCTACCTCATTGCTGAATATCACTACAGTCACCTTCAAGTACATGCCTTGGGAAGCTATACACTGATGCCATCACCTTGTCTACCTTTCAAAGCAATTTTGGAACTCTTTGTCTGGGATGGTCATTAGCACTGTCTTCATACAAGGGTGACAGTTCAGTTCGCAAACTCATCCTAGGAAAAGTGCTTTGAAGGGTGGGCTAGGTGCTGGCATGAGTGCATAGCTTGCCAAGAGGACTATGTAGAGGGTGATTGTAGTGATATTCAGCCATGAGGTAGGTAGCATTTCTTCTTGGATGAGTTTGAGAACTTAATTGTCAGATCTTGTAATCTAAATGTGTTTCTGATTTGGATTAGAAAATTAAATATTACTTTCCATAATATTAGTTCCCCTTTTATTTTTTATTTTTTAAGTAAATTTATTTTAGGTTAATGTGAGGGTACAACCAGATTTAAAAAATTGATTTTCTTAGGCAGAGTCCCTCTTAGTTCTCCTTTTAAAGGGAAAGAAATTGATTAAATAAATGTAGGCACATAGTTAAATATAAAGGCACTAAATATATTAGTAGATGATTTTAAAAAATCTTTTAAAATTTCCCCAAGAGATTACTAAATAAGAAAGTACGGGGAAGAGTGGAGAGAGTTATTAGTCTGTAAACAAAGCAGCAATGCAAAACAGGGTTGGTAACTATTTGCGATACTTGAATTCAAGAAAACAATGCCACAGTTATCCTAGATGTAAGCCATCTTTTGCATCATTGCCTTTACCGTTTTAAATATATTTTATGTTGTTAATTTTCTGCTATCCAATCAGTGTTATGACTCTACTCCCTGAAATGTCAGATCTGGTGACATATAAATTACTTTGAATTCTGCCTTTATTTTGACAATGGGTCGATGATAATAGACTAGACTCCAAGAACTTGTTGAGCTGTTTACCATGTGACTGAAATGGAGGGATCTTTAGAGTATATGTTTCTTCTCTTAAAACTTTTGATATAACTGATGTGTCACATAGAAAATGGTGAGTGTGGCAATTAAAACACACTTTAGTTACATAAAAGGGGGAAAATAGAAAATGAAAGGAAGAAAAAGGATCAGTTTTCATGTGGCAAACACTAACAGTGTTACTTCATGACTCCAGTGTCAGAGCAATGAGTTAAAATGAGTTCCTGTTTTTCAGACAGGAACTGAAAAAGAGAAACTAAGGTGAAAACAGAAGGCATGAAAAGGTGACTTCTAATAAAATGAGAAGCTAGAGATAAACATAAAATGAGTAAAAAAACTCCTAAGCTTTTTATAGAATTAGGTGGCAGAACATACTTGAAGAGAGAGAAAAAACTTTAGGCATCTGATTGATGTTGCCTGGCTCAGGCTGGCCCTCCAGCACATTTGTTTAAAGCCTTCCTTGTGGTTATGACTTCACAGTACAAACCCACAGCTGCTTCACATCCTCGTCTCCTGTAGTGCCTTCTACTTTTGGAGATGGGGGCATCTTTCCTCTGCCTCTGATCTCTTCCTTTGCAGTGAACACTGAGCACCCCCGCCCCCAGGCTCATACCCCTTAACTCCCAACACCACAGTGCTGTGCTCCACATAGTCTGCTTACATCAAGCTTCTCCTATGAGTCTTAGCACTGCCATTTCAAGCTGATTTAGTAAATTGTGCAGGGATGGCATCCGTCATCACTCTCCCCATTTCACTGGCTGTAGAATTTAGCTGTCAGCCTGCAGATGGCAGGGACAAAGGCAAGACTAGTACCAAGTTCTCTGACTCTAGATCCTGTAGGCCAGCGGTTCTCAGCCTGTGGGTCATGACCCCTTTGTAACAATGAAAATACATCCTGCATATCAGATATTTATATTACGATTCATAACAGTAGCAAAATTACAGGTATTAAGTAGCAACGAAAATAATTTTGCGGTTGGGGGGGTCACCACCATTAAAGGGTCGTGGCATTAGGAGGTATTAGGAAGGTTGAGAATCACTGCTGTAGGCTTTACATCAATGCCACTTACAAACACGTAGGGTGCTTCCTTTAAAACAACAGCAAAAATAGGCAAATAAGCAAAACCTTCTTTGACAGTGATGTTCCTTTCCTACTGGCAGATTTCTCAAATATGATCATGCTCAAACCCAAAATGGCATAATGGGAGGGCTGCTAACTTTGGAGTTGGGCAGGGTAGGCTATTCTCTGGTAGTTGTGTGATCTTGAACATGTTTCCTCATCTGTAAAATATCTGTCTCATAGGGTGGTTGGGATGTCAAAGGAAAATGACTAAATTAAGTACTTAGCCCACTGAGAGGCATGATAAATTTTTATTTATTACATAATTGTATCCTGTATACTGACTTTGACCCTGACCTCTCCACAGAGTTTGATCTTGCTCGGAATGCTCATGACCATTTCTGGCTAAATCTTAAGGCCTTTTCTCAGCTTTCAGCCTTTTCTAGCTACTTAATTCCCCCTATTCTTTTGACTTTCCTAATATTATATTATTGTTTCTTCTTTTTCTGGTGGCTTCTCTTTTGTCTAATGAACTAACTTTTTATTCTACCCTGTACAAGTCTGTCTTCTAATGTTCCATCTGCAATCATTGCTTTGTTGACAAGACTAAGTTAAATTAATAAATCAGAAAGGAGATAAGAATCTGTTTTGCTTTGTGAATATAGCCTTAATTCTTCTTTACCTGTCTCCTTTCTACTTTCAAATATAAAAACATCATGTTGAATTTAATCACCAGCAAATAGTAAAGCCCTAGCTCTGTTAAAAGCACTGGAAGGCTTTAATTACCCTTTTCCACATAGACATGGCAAGTGATGTCCATGACCAAACTGTTGTAGTATGATGGCGATGATGATGTTATTATTAAAAATTATGTTTTCTAAATAGTCTCATAGACCTTACACAGTAGTCTTGCCTACATCATTTGTTCTTCAAAATGACATTGTGAAGTAGATAGTGTTCTAAATTACCCAACACACTTTACAGGTAATATAAAAAATATTCTGACTTTGATTCTAAGAATAGTGCCTTTTCTGTTTAAACCATACTATTTTTTGTTCTCTATTTCATTTAACTTTCCTGACATGTCTATAAATGCTAGATTTTAGGCTAAAGAATAGGTAACACAGTTTTAATTAGGGAAGCCTAAGAAAAAGAGATAAATTCAAAACAGTAAATTGGGTTACTTTTTAGCAAATCAAGGAAAAGTTATAAATTTGGAGGCCAAGACTTAATTATAAGAGTTGAACAAAGTATTTATTTTTGTATGTGTTTATTTTACTTTTGGGAAAGTATTTGTACTTTAATATTACAAAATAATATTTAATATAAACATTTCATATTAATAAAAGCTATCTCTATATTGTATATAGATTTCACCTGGCAAAAAATATGAAAAGTTACAATGTCAAAGATTTTAAAGTTAACCTTAGTTTAAATGGGGGATTTCATCTATTTAGTTAGAGAAGTCTTCATGTTACCATGGATCATACCCATTCATTCATCATTCATTCTAATTGTCTTTTGTTCCTACCTAATGAAGTATGTTGTATGTTTGTTTTGCAGATCTAAAGCGAGAAGCCAGTATCTGTCATATGCTGAAACATCCACACATTGTAGAGTTATTGGAGACATATAGCTCAGATGGAATGCTTTACATGGTTTTTGAATTGTGAGTGTACATTTTATTTATTAAGGGGTAAAATTTTAAGCAATGTTGCTTTTGTATAGTGCTAACACTTTTCTCTTGAAATTTAACAATAGTTGTAAACTTATCTGTTTACAAAGAACTAAAGTCACAGAAGGATTGTTTCATCTTAAAGTTTACAATGGCAAAGGAAGCAAAAGTTAGACAGTTACCCTCACACTTTGCACACACTTCAGAGAAGAGTCTCTAAAGGGAAATAGAGTTCAGAGGGATAAGATGCCCCAACATATAAAATTCTGACCAACAGAAGTCTTCATGAAGAGGAGTGGGAGAAGAGTGGAGGCCTCCATGTAGCAAGCCTGTGTGGCAACTAAAAACTGATTGATGACACACTCTACTGAGGGCAATAAAGTGAGACTCTGTCTCTACCAAAAAAAAAAAAAAAACAACAAAAAAACCTGATTGATGACAGGCTTAACTTCCTCTTTTGATAGAATCACTATGTTGGCATATGAAGGCAATTCTATAGATCACAGTATGTCTTGATTTCAGCAAGCCTCTTGACATGTTTATCACAAAATTTTTGTCAGTAAAATAGAGAAATGCAAGCTAGTTCATAGCTGGTTGGATAATTGTATCCAAAGAGATTGTATAAAGCTTTACAGGTCAGCATCCTGCAAGGTTTTGTCTTTTTTTTTTTTTTTTTTTTTTTTTTGCAGTTTTTGGCTGAGGCTGGGTTTGAACCTGCCACCTCTGGCATGTGGGGCTGGCACCCTACTCCTTTGAGCCACAGGCGCTGCCCCAAGTTTTTGTCTTTGATCCTATTCTGTTCAAAATTATAATCAGTGAGTTTTATTAGGGGAAAAAAGGAAGATACTGATAGCTAAATATTCAAAAATTACCAAGGTTGGAGGGTATATTCATTATTGCTTCATAATAAAATATCCCAAAACTTAATGGTTTAAAACAACACATATTTTTTATCTCAATCTCTGTGCATCAGGAATATGGATCCAGTTTAGCCAGGTCCTCTGACTCTGATCTCTCACACAGTGATAGTCAAGGTTTTGACCAGGGCTGAAGTCATTTGAAGGCTACAATGTAGGGTGGATCTGTTTCCAACATCACTCACATGGTTGTCGATAGTCTTCAATTCCACACAGGCCATTGGAGTGAGGACCTTGGTTCCTTACAAGCTGGTGGCCCAAAGCCTCCTTTGTTTCCTTGTCAGGTGGGCCTGTCCATAAAGCACCTCACAACATGGTTCCCGGATTCATCAGAACAAGCAAGAAAGAAGGCAAGAGAGTGTGAGCGAGCAGAAGTCACAGTCTTGTAACCTAATCTTGAAAATTACACACCATCACTTCTGCCATTTTCTTGTAGTTAGAAACAGGTCACTAGATCCAGCCCACATACACATGAGGGGTTTACACCAGGGCCTGAATACTAGGAGGTGGGAATCACTGGGACCCATTTCACAAGCTGCCTTCCACAGAAGGCTAGCTAACTTTTGGCTGTCTATATCAAAATTCAAAAACACTTTAACAGAGAAGATGAAATTTATTATTAAAACCAGCTAATATAGAGTCCTTCATTCAAATATATAACTGCAAGGTCAGTGTGAATTTAGTTGTGATTACTAACATGAGAAAGATTGTAAATGTTTTAGTTAGTTGTTTGCAACAGCTTAAAAAGCCTTGACTGTAATGTTAGGCTGCATTAATTAGAAGTATGTAATATTCAGGCTGGGCACCTGTGGCTCAAGCAGCTAAGGCGCCAGCCATATACACCTGAGCTGGCGGGTTCAAATCCAGACCAGGCCTGACAAACAACAATGACAACTACAACCAAAAAATAGCTGGGCATTCTGCTGGGCACCTGTAGTCCCAGCTGCTTGGGAGGTGGAGGTAGGAGATTCGCTTGAGCCCAGGAGTTGGCAGTTGCTATGAGCTGTGATGCCACGGTACTCTACCCAGGGCGACAGCTTGAGGCTCTGTCTCAAAAAAAAAAAAAGGAAGTATGTAATATTCAGAATGACACCACATTTCCATTGAAATGTTTGCAGAAGAGGATAACCAGAATGGGAAACATCCTGCAAATTCTGTCATAAAGTCATGGCCTTCAAAATCTTTCTTGGCAAACCCACTAAGAATTTTGAAAAGCTTATGTACTGCTTTCACATATTTTTAGGCTGATACATAAAAACTATTTTTATGAGAATGCAATTTTTTGTAACTTGAATATTCTTTTAAATGTATTTTCTTGGCTCAGCACCTGTGGCTCAAGTGGCTAAGGTGCCAGCCACATACACCTAAGGTGGTGGGTCCCAATCCAGCCGAGACCTGCCAAACAACAATGACAGCTGCAACCAAAAAATAGCCTGGCATTGTGGTGGGCGCCTGTGGTCCCAGCTACTTGGGAGGTGGAGGCAGGAGACTCGCTTGAGCCCAGGAGTTGGAGGTTGCTATGAGCTGTGATGCCACGGCACTCTACCCAGGGGGACAGCTTGAGGCTCTGTCTCAAAAAAAAAAAAAAGTGTATTTTCTTCACAACTGTGAAGCTGCATATTTATCTTGTCCACTATATAGAAAATTGTCATGTACTGGGGCAAGAGAGGGACCTCTCTTGACCCAGAGCAATGAGGGAGAGTTGATCTGAGTGGAGAGGTGGGAAATGAAAAAAAGGGACACACCCAAGAACAAAACACACACAAGAGATAGGATGGTATTGGGAGGACTGACGCAGCTGATGGCTGCAGCCAGCACCTGAACCATGGAAACAGCTTTATTTTTACAGTATCTTAACAAGGTTGCATAAATCTTAACACATGGGGTAGAGATCAACCTTAAACAGGAAAAACTGTGTGCTTGCCTATAACAAGGAAAGTATGCATAGGTTACATGACTTTTTGGCAGGTGGAAAGAATTTGTTAAGGGAAGAGAAGTAGTTGGGGGATCTCTCTGAGCATTTCCTAGGCTGTGGGGGCCCTGCCGCCCACAGCCCACTCCCCACAGAAAATGTCTGCTATGTAACCTACATGGCAAAGCTAGTCCTCATTGTCAAATCACTCAGCCAAATCAGACTCATTTTCTTTCAGAAAAGAAAATCTGACTTCATTTTTCAAATAAAATTAAAGTGTTAAAGACATCCCTGTGACACTCACCTTACTTTTGATTTCAAATTCTAAAATAGATTGGATTTTGCCATGAATATATTGCCTAGATGAAATGTGGCACCTCCCCTTTTTTCTCAGGTGCTCTTATTATGTTTTTCTCTAAAGGGTCTCTCCCTCCCTCAGGAGTTGCACATTCCCCAGTTGTCTCCTTGAAGCTAAACAGCCTCGTCTTTTGGGTGATTGTAGTCATGGAGATGTAAAAGGAAAACCAGCAAACCACAGACTTGTTTTCAGACCAAGTTATGGCAAATTAAAATATGGAAACTGGTTGCCTGAAAAATAACCTAGTTCATGTGTCTCCTGGCAGGCCTTTGGGTACTCCCAGAGATACCTGAATCACAGGCTGAAGACCATGACACAGAAGAGCTCTTGAAAAGATAAAGAGGCTTTAGTTAACTATGAATGCATTAGTTTTCTTATTCTGCTAAAAAAAAAGTCCCCAAAGCAGAAGACCATAGGTAGAACATAATCAATGTCTTCAGTTATTTGAAAGATCATCATGAATAAGAAAATTATATGCTTATTCAATGTAGCATCAGAGGCTGTAACTAGAATCCAGAAGTAGCAGATTTCACTTCTAATTAAGGAAGGCCTCCTTTACCTTGAAAATCCTCATAAGATTATGAGAACTAGATGAGAAACTGTATGTGAAGTCCCTTTGTAAATGGTGAAGTTCTTTATAACCATAAAGTGTTATTTACAGTGGATTTAACAGGTTAGTTTTAGTTCCTCAGTGTTGAAGCAGTCTATGTGGGATTTTATGTAGCTAATTTTGTATGTTTTAGTTGTGACTAAAATAATTCATTCATGGATATGTGTTGAGACCTCATTAAAGTTGGATATTTACCAGTAACCTGATCTCAATATCTCAATATTAACCCGATCTCAATATCTCAATATTAACCCAAATCACTAGAACATGGCTTTCTATTTTCATTTTGTTTTACTTTTTTTTTTAGAGACAGAGTCTTACTTTGCCACCCTAGGTAGAGTGCTATGGCATCACAGCTACCAGCAACCTCCAGCTCTTGGGCTTAGGTGATTCTCTTGCTTCAGCCTCCCGAGTAGCTGTGACTACAGGCACCTGCCACAACGCCGGCTATTTTTTTGTTGCAGTTTGGCCGGGGCCGGGTTTGAACCTGCCATCCTCGGTATATGGGGCTGGCGCCCTACCACTGAGCCACTGGTGCTGCCTTTTTTTTACTTTTTATTGTGGAAAATTTCAAATGGAAAGAGAGAATAGTATAATGAACCCCAGAACACTGGTCACTGAGCTTCAGCAGTTATCAAAACATTTTGCCATTCCTGTTCTATCTCTCTTTTCCTGTTGTATTCCCCCCTACCATGGAGATTTCTAAAACAATATCATTTTACCTATAAGTATTCTTGTTTGTATTTCTGACACATAAAGATTGTTTTTAAAAAATGGCCATGATATTATCATACCTAAGAAAATCAACAATACCTTAATAGCATCTCATATTCAGTTGATATTCAGTTTTCCCTAATTGAACATGAGTTTTAAATGATAGATTTCTAAATTTAGCATTGTTTTACTAACTCTGGGGCAGTGGTTCTCAACCTTCCTAATGCCTCCTAATGCTGCAACTCTTTGATACAGTTCCTCATGTTGTGGTACCCCCCAACCATAAAATTATTTTTTCATTGCTACTTCATAACTGTAATTTTGCTACTGTTATGAGTCATAATGTAAATATCTGGTATGCAGGATGTATTTTCATTGTTATGAAGGGGTTGCAACCCACAGGTTGAGAACCGCTGCTCTAGGGATCTGGAAGTAGATTATAAATTTCACAAAGTACCTTAGTTATTTCTCAAAATGGTCAGA